AAAGCAAAAAAGAAAAAATAAAAAAAGGGAGAGGAAAATAAAAAAAATTGGTGAAGGACAGGGCAGGGCACCCAGGCTCCGTCTGAGCACACAGACTGTGATGGAGTTCCTGTGGGCCCAGAAGGTAGGTGGGAGTGAGGGATGGCTGCACCTCCGTTCACCAAGTGGGTGTGAGGTATAGGAGTAGCAAGAGGAATGTTGTACCTTGTCAGTCTTGCAGGTCCTGAGTGTCCTTGGGGTTGCTGGAAAGCAGAACGTGTTCTTAAGCCCCAGGAATCTGCCAGGGTGCTGTCTCTTTAAATATTCAAAATAGTCAAGCCACTTTTTAAACCTTCAAAATGGCAGCACCCTCCGGTCCGGCAGAAGTCCATAGTTCAGCCCACCTTTCTCTTCACCTTCTCTGTTTGTTCCCCAGCCACCGTGCACAGTCCTCTGTGCCATCCCTGGCTAGCAGGGTGTTTTTAAGGTTAAGTCTTAGATTCTACCACCACTCAGGAATCTCCAAGCTGTCTGTGCCATCAGGATCGCTCAGGATCACTGCCAGACCGCAGCTCTGTCTGTCTCCTTTTTTGGTATTTTCACGCAAATTCTTCTGCTAGTTGGGGTTTAGTCCACTTCTATATCATTCCCTTCAAGGCTTAGGGGTCCAGGATTATCTTCTGTGTCTGTGTTAATTGGTTTCCCTTTTCTTTGTTGAAGAGGTTATGTGCAGTCTTTCTGCCTAGTCTGCCATCTTGCTGGATCTCCTCCCTCTAGATATTTCTATGCATTTATGCACATCATGCCATACATGCAGTACTCTAACTTGCCACTTTCCCTCACAAAACTTCAGGTAAATGTAAGTCAACATTAGCCTTTTTGATGTCTACACAGTATTCCATTGTGTGGATACACCATAATTTATTTAGCCTTTCCCCATTGTTGGACATTTACGTTATTTCTAGTTTCTAGCTGTTGTACACAATGCTGTGATTGAACACCCTTGAGCGTACATATTTTTTCTAGTTATGTAATTACCTTCTTTGGATACAGTTCAGAGAATAAGATTGCTGCTCAAAGGCTACCCACATTTTCTAAATTCTTGGAATTATATATGCATATACATACACACACATCATATGCTTTACCCAGTACTGGAAGTCATATTGGGCTATCACAAGGTGGTCCCTAAGCACCCTCCCTGTACTTCTATGTCTCTTCTCTTCACCACCAATCATAGTATGAGTTTCAGATTCAAACTTGTTATACTATTTTAGAAATTATGAGGGAAAGCCTATATATCTTTACTTCTCAGACTAATCACTGGTCCAGCATTACCTTCTAAAGGATCATCATCAATATATGGAGCTGGAGTCTGCAAGTCATCACTTTGATTGTATTGGAGCTCAGTAGATTTCTGATCTTCATTTCTGCAAGAACATTCACCTCCCTCCATTGGCTCATCCAAAGCAAATGTTACTGATTTCTTCTTTTTAGATTTTAATCTTAAACTTTCTTTCTGTACACCAAGAAGATGGGGAAAGATGATTAATTAGTGCCCAAGAGTTCAAGGATTATTCCCTGGAGGAATAACATTCAAAGAGCTGTTTACCTGTAGGATTGGCTTTAGGGGACTAGCTTCAATTGAATGGTGTCCTAAATTCAGTCCCTTCTCTTTGGTCCTTCTCATCCTTATACAGAAGCTGAGGAAGGTAGAAAGAACAAAGCAGTAGTAGAAACAGATGCGCTTCAACTTCTTAAACAAATGCAGTTATTACCTTTGGTGGTATAGTGCCTAAGGCTAAGACTGCTAACCAGATGGCTGGAGGTTCAAACCCACCAGCCACTCCTTGGAAGGAAGGTTGGGCAATCTACTTCCATAGTGATACCGCCTCAGAAACCCAAGGAGGGGTTACTATGAGTCGGGTCTGACTGTATGGCGAATAACAACAACAACAACCATATGCCTTGAACAACAGAGTAAGAAGGCATTTAGGCCTTTCACTTCTGAGAACCTTGAGCACTTCCTGTTTTCTTTTTTTTTTTTTAAACTTCCTGTTCTTTCCATCATTCCTCTTTTTTGGGAAGATCAGAGAACCTGGAGGCTGAGAATATGGGGCAGTTCCATGATATTCATTTGTAGAATAAAGCCAGTAGGCTCCTTAATGGGCTTGTGTGCCTTTGCTCCTCCACATGGCAAATAGAAGCCCTGGTTTGGAGAAGTTTTACTGCTGATGGGTTGGTTTTACCTTCATACAACTCATCCCACTAACATTTGTGTGTGTGGCTCCAGTTGTGTGTGTGGCGGAGGGTGTACCCAACAATGTTGGTCACTTTCCTATCTCCATTTGGGCCAACTGATCTTGAAAGACTAATTTGGTGCTGCATGGAATCTAATCACCTCCTAGAACTCCCTGGTTATGTTGAAGATTGACTGCTATATCTATTCTATCAGTAAACCCAATAGAGGCAGCTCAGTAGCTTAGTACCTGCTGAATGGACATTTTTCTCTAGATCTGCTGATGTCCTTGGAGGTTGAGTTTTTTGAGGTAGATGACAGTCCCCTTCTACATTGCTGTTGGCGAGTACATAGTTCTTCATATCTATCCCCAATGACAGCTAATAGCCAGCGCAGCCCTTCAATTATGGGCTGATAATTTTCTTTTTGGAGGTCATTGATGGCTGAACAAGGCTCCTGTGACAAAAAGAGAGGAGAAGACTTGAACCTTAGATCCTGGGACCAGTGGAGCCCACAGTCCCAATAACTCATCCTAAAAGCAGAGATTTACATCAGCTCTGCCATGCCAAAAGCAGCTCTAGGACTTCCTAGCACACTCAGCATTGACTTCTTAGAAAGTGAATGAAAGATATAAAAGGTAAGATTCTTTATTAAAGTAATGTCATTTCCTGGATATGTGACCCTGGGCTTAGATTTAGAGTCTCTGAGCCCTATCTTATTTATCTATGAAATGGAGATATTAAAATTTCCAACTTTACAGAGGTTTAATGAGAAAACAGATGTGTAAGTGTTCTAAGAATGTGATATTTCTTATCACCATCAGGTCAGAAATCATTACTATATATGTTGCCTGGCTTTGCCACAAATGCAACATTATGGAGTGGGCCAAGGAACACGTCAACTGTATTCTACAGTGAGAGGGAAGGGAAGGAGTTGACACTTACCACTCGGCACAGGGACTTATTTATTAGCTTTTCCAGAAGTAGGTACTCAATAATATCACAAGGCAGGAGGGCATTCTTCTTGTCTTGTTTATTTGCCAGGCTGTAATAGGGCACAGGAGAGAGGGCAGGGATGAAGAGAGAAGAGTGAGATAGAAATAGAGACAAAGAGCATGGAGGAAAGATAAAGAGGAGAAGAACCAGCTCTAGCACAACTACTGAATATCCAATGAGACAAGCCAGGAATTTTTCTAGCTAACCCTCATTAGTAGGAAGAAATAGCACAAATAATTTGAATCCAAGATAATCCCAGGCCTCATTTCTTACTTCCCTGACATTATATCCTCAAACTTTAATTGGAATTGCAAATTGGGGTATGAACACATTTGGGGGGGGGGTGACTGGTGACTTGAATTATCACCCTCATATAAGTGTTAGTTAATGAAATCTTGAGCAATTTTTCTAAGGATAATATTTTTCACAGATAATGCAAAGTAGTGGTTGTTTTCTACCACTCTGAGATCTCAGGATTAGAGATTGAAACCAGACAAGATGAGAAGCAAATTATGGAAGGCAGTCTTCAGGAAGAGTGAAGGGATGGGGGGAGGTAGATCCAGACATTATTCTCCATTTCCCTTTGATACTTGCCTTCAAAATTACCTTTATACAATAGGGAGGTCCGTAGGTGGTGCTAATGATTTGTGCTCAAATGCTAACCTAAGGGTTGGCTGTTTGAACCCACCCAGTGGTGTCACAGAAGAAAGGCCTGGCAGTCTACTTCCAAAAAATCAGCCCTTGAGAACCCAGTGAAGTAGATCTACTCTTTAACACATGGTATCATCATGAGTCAGAAAAAAAACTCGATGCTTCTTATAATAGAGAATACACAATTAGGTAACATGCCTTCCATGGATGGTAAAGTGGTCCTAGAAAATAGCCTCCAGAGGACTGGGACACTCTATCTCACTCAGCCTAATAAGGAAAGAGGTCTCAATGGACTTGACAAAGGGAACCATCACACCCTTCATCCTATATAGGTATCTTCTTAACTCACTAAATACGAAGGGGAAATTGGGCCCAAAGGCAGAATCTTACACTAAGATGGGTTTCCCTGTCACTCTGGGATCAGACAGCAGATGTAGTAAGGTCATCTTCGCTTCTTTCATGCACACTAAGTCAGTAGAGTCCAGCACAAAAACAATCCCATGAGCCTGCACATAGTAGTTTGGCCACAGTTCTGGGCCCTTCAGGTCTCCATTCAGGTCGTAGATGGAAACGTTGTAGTTGTCTAACAGCAGCGTAGTCTGTTCAGATTTCATACATTTGTCCATTCTGCTGGAAACCACTGTGAGCAGAAGAGAGGAGAAGCTACCACTAAGTAGGGAAATATAAGGAGTATCACTTTGCCCATGCTCTCCTCTCCTGGTTCATTGTTTCAGTGACTGCCTGCTGCTCCCAGGATAAGACACAGACTCCTTTGCCTTCTAACCTGCCAGGCCTATCTCCTAGTACTCTTAACGAGATCGATGTCCTCATTGTCCCTGCTACACATCCAGTCTCTTTCTCCCTCTGCTCCTTTGTTCATATTTCTCCCATTATCCCCATTGCACGTGAATACCATGCACTGTTTTGGCACTGGGCCTTACAAGATGCTATTATCTCTGCTTAGAACACTTTCTACTGCTCCCTTTTTTGGGGGAGGGAGAGTAACAGTTTAAACCTTATTTCCTCTAGAAAACCTTTCCTAACTCAGACCAGCATCTCCAGGTCTGGATAAATTGCCTT